ACCTTGGTAAATTTACCTACAAATAAGAAGGCTATTGGGTGTAAATGGGTGTTTACAGTTAAAGTCAATCCTGATGGGTCCATTGCTCGATTGAAAGACCGTCTTGTTGCTAAAAGATATGCTCAAACTTATGGAGTGGATTATTCTAATACCTTTTCTTCTATTACTAAACTTACTTTTATCAGGTTGTTTATTTCTATGACAGCTACTTATAATTGGCCCCTTCATCAGTTAGACATTAATAATGCTTTTCTTCATGGGGATCTTCAAGAGAAAGTTTATATGGAGCAACCGCTTGGCTTTGTTGCTCAAGGGGAATATGGGAAAGTTTGCTATCTTCATAAGTCTYTGTACGGGTTGAAGCAGAGTCCTCGCGCCTGGTTTGGAAAGTTTAGTCAGGCAGTCGAGAATTTTGGTATGAAGAAAAGTAAGTCTGATCATTCTGTTTTCTTCAAGCACTCTACTGCCGGCATCATTTTGTTAGTTGTGTATGTGGATGATATTGTCATTACAGGGAGTGATACTACAAGGATTTCATCCCTTAAATCCTTTCTCCACACTCAGTTTCATACBAAAGATTTGGGAATGTTGAAATACTTCTTGGGTGTTGAGGTAACAAGAAGCAAGAAGGGAATATTCTTATCTCAAAGGAAATATGTACTTGACTTGTTGTCTGAGACGGGAAAGTTGGGAGCTAAGCCATGTAGCACTCCAATGGTTCCTAACTTGTAGCTCACAAAAGATGGTGAATTATTTGAAGATCCTGAGAGATATAGAGGATTGGTTGGAAAGTTGAATTATCTTACTGTAACTCGTCCAGATATTGCGTATTCAGTTAGTGTGGTGAATTAGTACATGTCCTCTTCAACAGTTAATCACTGGACAACTGTAGAACAAATTTTGTGCTACTTAAAAGGAGCACCTGGGCGAGGAATTTTGTATGGCAATCATGGTCATACTAGAATTGAATATTTTTCAGATGCTGACTGGGCAGGATACAAGGAAGATCGAAGGTCTACTTCARGCTATTGTGTATTTGTTGGAGGGAATCTAGTTTCATGTAAAAGCAAGAAGCAAAATGTTGTCTCACGTTCGAGTGCAGAATCGGAATATAGAGCTATGGCCAAGTCTGTGTGTGAAATAATGTGGATATATCAGCTTCTGACTGAAGTAGGTCTTAAAACTTCAGTACCAGCGAAGTTGTGGTGTGATAACCAAGCTGCTCTTTACATTGCATCTAATCCTGTTTTTCATGAACGAATTAAGCATATCGAGATTGATTGCTATTTCGTTCGTGAAAAGATTCAGTAAGGTTTGATTTCCACAGGTTATGTGAAAAHAGGAGAACAACTGGGAGATATCTTCACGAAGGCTCTTAATGGGGTTAGGGTTGATTATCTTTGTAACAAGCTGGGCATGATTAAATCTATGCTCTAGCTTGAGGGGGAGTTTTAAAGACTGTATAATTAAAATAGGAAGATGTTACAGACTGTATAATTAAAATATGAAGTAAATACTAGGGAGATATGATGTTACAGACTGTATAATTAAAATAGGAAGTAAATACTAGGGAGTTATGATGTTACAGACTGTATAATTAAAATAGGAAGTAAATACTAGGGAGATATGATTTACCTTGATTGTAGGGCTGATTTGTAGGAATTTGATTAGTCTTATTTCCTAATATTCTTTCCTAACATAGAATTTGTAACTTGTATATATACATACGAGATTGATGAATAATACAACAAATTCTTCTTCTTCCTCTGTTTACTCTTATTTTACACTGTGTAATTACCTTAAACTAGACACTTATGAGACTTATGTTAGTTTAAAATGTTCATATCCGTTGGATAGACCTGTGGAGGTTTATCCTGCCAAGGCTGACACTAATGTGCTACCAAGTCGGTTGGGGTAGCTTGTCTCAACTGGCAGGGTTAGACCCGGAGCACATGTAGTGTGTATTTGCTTGAGACATTGAACACAGACCATTTTCTAGTTATGCCCTAAACCTTGGAGATTGGTGGGCAAAATTAGAAACTTACACCTAACCCCTTTACTCGATTATAGTACCGCACCAGGTGTTGGATTGAGTTGTCTTTGCCACTACTATGGTACAATTGGTTGACCCATTAGAACCAATACACGTATGCATGCTTTCGGTTTTGACGGATTCCACATAATAGAAACATGTAGGAAATTCTATTACTCTCCCCAACCAAAGATACATTGACATCTGATGATATGGTATTGTATCTAACAAGCGGTTGGATGTCACTCTGTTGTTCGAGCCGGATTTTCTGTGTTTGCTCGCATTAAATTGTGTACTCAATCCTGATTGTGTTTGGGTTCAGTGCAAGTCTACCACAAATGGCATTAACTAGTCCACTGTACTCCGTGTTTACAGTGACAGGTATACCGATAGAAGTGCCATTATATGGAGTTCAGATCTCCTACCCACGAGAACTCTGCCTACGTTTATCGCATCCACACATGGAGAACATCTCATCCTCTGCATAGTATTATGCAGGGAGAGATGTTCTCAATTTACGAGGATAGTATATTGTGGGTAGGTTGTGGGCAGGAGATCCGAAGTCCATTATACGTGCATATACACAAGATGATTTTATCAGCTCCAACATCCATTGTAATGATTGACAACTAGAATGCTTCTGCAATTACAGAAGGGTAAGATACATCAGTTCTATAGTTGACAGGCATATAAAACAAACCTTCATAACCTTTCGGTCTATTACAACCAGTTGCTTCATCATTTATGAAATCTGGATTAGACTGATGCTTCAAGTTTATAAATGGAGGTTAGGGATGAGTACTTATTGGGTACTTGAAGAACTGAGCACTAAAACCAAGAAGGAAAATATTGTGTCGCAACCATCTGTTGGAAATATTGCGTGGGTGAATTTTCAGTAATTAAAACACATAGGGGTTGAGGTGTTTATTTCCTTCACTAGGTGACGGAAATACAACTAATTTAACAATTTTCAAACTTATGGAGTAAACCCTAAAAAACCATAAAACATAATCTTCAGACGGGAGGTCAAACTCCACCTTGTATACTTGGGGGAGGTTTCCATATGTAGGAAGAAGGTCATGGGTTCAGCCACCCACCCCTGGTTAGCCCAATACTGTGGTCGCACGACAACCATAAGGTGTTTAGGATAACCAAGAAGTACAACTTCAACTGTTATCGTAAATAAACTATGTTAGGCATTTGATCGAATAACTAATCTGTGACCAATAGGTGTGGTATACTTCAGTGATGTTCTAGACACGGGTTGCAGATAGCCACCCAACCCCACCGCCCTTCCCCTCCCCCCTACCCACTATCAGAAGATCACATGGCAAACATAAGGATTCTCATACTCACCATAGAAGGAAGGAATCGTATGATGTAAAGCTGGGGGTGCCGCTGCATATCTGCCAAAAGGGCTACCGAGTACATTCTATTTGTACGGATTGATAACAGTTAACTCACGAGCAGATGTATGGGGTAATGAAAAGCTTCACTAGAGGACCATGCGCGCGCTACTAAGGAGTAGTTGCTCGGAATCTCCGATCCACTACCTATGCGTCGTTGACGATTAGATGCTCGAACTCTCGAATCGACTACCTATGTGCCTCTAACGAGTAGCTGATCGGCCTATCTGATGGAGTAGCTGCACGCCACAGCTGAGGTGAAAAGCCTATTCGCGGGCCAACCCGACCGGAGTTACACGACTGCTGCAGTTGCTAGATGGCAACACCTCTTCACGTTGCCCCAAGCCATATACCAACGCTGTTAACGCCCTCTGGTCTAGATGGGGAAGCCTGCAAAGACTATCCGCATGACAATTAACTTTGAGCTGCGAGAGTCATATCACATAATCCAATGGCTGCTAGCAGCTATAAATTCCCCTTCTTCATTATTTGGGTCACAGTTACCCATGATGACAGCAGGCTACTTGGTCATCGAGTGTAGTTTGTCCACGGCAGCAGGGCTTCTTAAAAACACGGTGGGTTATTTTCATTGTTTCAATGGATACGTTAGTTTCAGCTAACTTCCTTTCTGCATTTCTTTATGTAGAACCTCCATGGACGCATATCATCTCGTTACAGCAGTTCTCCCACAATGCGATCTGCTGAGTCTGGTTCTCCGCCAACACTCTGAGCCCAAACCTGAGTGGCTAATAAGCAACTCAAATGGTCTCTACCAGGCAACCGTCACCATTGTGGTGAACGGAAACGAGTCCTCGTTCGCGAGAAAACTCCGTTCGCTAGCTGAAGCAAGCATCCAGACAACCACCCATCTTGCAATGTGGCACCTTAAAGAGGACTGGCGTGTACACGTCGTTGATGTTACATACCTGGAGTACCGGCACTGCGCTCGCCTGTGTCACAATCTTCAAAAAGAGGTGGATGATCTACAACTTGAGAATCTGGCAATGAAGACTAATATCGCACGCATGGTGCGCGATCTTGCCGAGTTTAGGGCAAGGCCTAACAGCAGTGTGTCAAGCGCAATCTTGCCCATACTCAAGCGTACGACCATTCTTTTATCGTGTCTATGATTACAACTCTCCTCCTTTTTTCTCTTCAAACATGTATTGTGATTGTACGAAAACTATCTTGCACCGGTTGCTTGTTGATATGGCACACTACGACTCAAGTGAACTCATTGTTATATAAAGATGGCATGGCACCCATTTTGATGGCGAAAAAAGCCTATTCAACCACTCGCACCGTGTAACGATACCCTACCACATCGTGGAAATCCCACGGCCCATTTGTATCCCTAACCCTTAGTGTGCCATACTTAGCCAAACCACCAAGTCGACCTTGAATGACACATGGGGTGTATTCGCGGCCAAACCGCAACAGGGGACCCCGTAGAGTACCGATATTCATAGCCAGAAAGAACGAGGTGCCTAATTGCCAACGGTAAAATGGAGGTTTACCCTAATTCTCTGTTGGGTGGGCCTGAATGAAGTGTAATGGATGGATTACATTTGGTAGTCAGAAATTGCCACTCATCTCAGTCCACAGTCCCAAGTTTCTTGAAAAGTGCATCTCTATTCACAGACATGGGATGACGGGATCATGCAGGAGTGGTCAGTTTTGAGCAAGAGGATTGGATCCTACCAAGTTGATGAATCATTCATTACCCCGAAAGCCAACATATTCTGGTGCATAAGCCAATTCAGTTGTACTGCCACCTTTTTTATGTTCAATGGGGCAATGAGATGATCTGTATGCAACATCACCATCTTTGTATATAACCAGAATATCCTTTCCATCAGATTGGTTAATTAGTTCCTAGAAGATGGTTGTAGTTTTACATTGCACAGTTCCAAAAAGGAAAACCAAGAAGCAGGTTGGTTAGCTTCTAGAAGTAGATCCCATCCTATTGAATGGGGTGAATATAGCCAAATTGATAGTGGATTGCTCAGATATTTACTGGGGCAAAAAGAGAAACAAAACTTTCCCCTCAAATTTCTGTGTTTTTACTCTGATTGTTTGTCAAACCAAAATTAATCAACATTAAGGCTGAGAGTAGATATTTGCAGCTACCCTTAGGAGCTGGCTTATAACAATATCCCAATATCATGATCATTCATCAAGAACTAGGAAGTCCATGGCACTTAGGGAGTGATTCATCCTATAATAGAATGATTCATACAACTCAACTCATCTCATTATTAAATTATATATGGGTTTCAAACCATTTCACACTACTTCAACCTTTGCTCTTCTTGATTTGCCTTTAACTCTGCTAAACCCTTTAATTTGTATCAATCACTTCCTCTCAGTGGTGCAGCCATACCTGGTATAGCAGAAAATACATACTTTCATAAGATAAATAGATAATAGAAGCTAGAGGGTGACATTGCATGAGCAAGTATGAGAGACAAAAGTAGGAACATGGGTGTTTAAGTATCCATCTTACAATCCCCTATTCTCTTTATAAATTTTAGTTATCTTGTAAAATTACCAAACTATCATTGTTTATCTAAGCTTGAGTCCTTCTAGAATAAGGGCAACTTATGTCAAAATCTCATATTTTAGTATCCTAAAAGCAATTCAGCTTTAATTCTAACTATTATGAGTTTGGTTACAGAAATCTTGCTTCCCCATTTTTCTTTATCAAAATCCATATTTTCTATCACATTACCAGGTTTTCTTTGGTCTTCCCCTTAATCCTTTAGTCTTTTACTTGTGGCAATTGAAAGCTATGAGGCTCAAATGTGTCTTCACATAGAATAAAAAAACTAAAATGAACTCATTGTTTATCACCTAAAAAGCTTGAGGGGTCATATATAACATAGATATAAATCAACCCAGCAATATATTATTGACAAAATGTTAACAACAAAAAAAGTCATTAGATAACAAATAAGCAATTAGATCAAACTGAATTAGATAAATTATATTCAAATGAAGTTTATTAAATTGTTGTAGAGGCTTAATCAAATAAGAAAGTTAAGGACTGAGTATAATATGGTGGGCTCAGGCTTGGTTTGACCTTGGGTCTAGGAACCAGAGGTTCAACCTGAATCTGACTCAAATATGATTAATAGGTTTAAATTAAATTCCAACCAAATCTGAACATGGACCGCACACTAAGCTTGAACTTGGCCCAACGATCCGAATATTTATAGATTCTCAGCTATAATTTTCCAAGATTACTATACCTACAAGCACTAAAATATCTTTCCAATTGAGTCAACTGGGTTGTGTTTAATCAGTTATTCTTTTTCAGATATATGTCAAATGCTATTAGGGACTACTCAAGGCCTGCTTCTTCTAGTTGGTCTTCCATTGTTTTGAATATAGATGTCTTACTTGATGGTTCTCATTAGCAGAATGTGTTTAAAGAGTTAGTTTTCCTAAGTACTTGTCTTATTCTCCTCTAAGCTCTGAGAGGTATACACCCTTAATTAGTTGATTAATAAAAAAGTGAATTGGTTACAAATTTCACTCTCATTCTTGTTGTAAAAAAAAATCATTTTTTAGAAAAAAAAAGTATTTGTTTTGTAGTAATATTTTCTCATCCTTCTCATATTTATTCATTTTTTCCATCTTAAAATTTCATTTTGGGTAAGAATGAGAAAGAATGAGAATTGAACCAAACATGGCCTTAGGGGCAAAATGCTTATACTCGACATTGGTCAATGCAATATAAAGTACGATGACAAATTTTGGCCCGTGAACCTCGTGCAACTTAACGTCTTCGAGTACAACAACATCCCAATATTGATTAACAAAGCTTACCCATTGCTCATGGATGATCTGTTCAGGGGATATTATGCCACAATAGTTGGGTACCAATATCCCATCGATATACATCGATCCTTTTCTGCATAAAGACACCGCATTTCGGGAGAGACAATCCATATACTTCATCATGAAGACACCGCATTCACTGCCTCTGTACAGATAACTCAACGGTCATTATTGTTTTAAGCATCACACAAACATACAGATGCAAAAATATTGGAAACATTTTCCCATTGCGACCTACCCAAGCTACTTTGGGATTGAGCCAACAAATTCATATGCCCATTCGTTTACCCCAAGGATGAAATGGTGCCAACTTAACCCTAGTTTTGCTTGCTGCCAAATAATGGACAAAAAGATATTGATGCATAAGTAAAGCGGCCGATAAACACTTGTTCAAGAAGTTTACTACTGAACTAGTTACACTACTGGAAAATTCATCTACTGAGGTAGTCATAATTGCCTCTAAAAAGTCAAAAAAAGTGCATCTAAAACAAATAGGAAGCAACCAGGTGACTGTCTCTAAAAGCCCTGCCTCTATATGTTTCAGAGGCACTTGACCAAGAATTAGAGGCAAACAAAAAAAAATGCCTCTAAAAATAGGTTTTAGAGGTACATATGATCGCCTCTATTGAATTGATGCTAAAAGCCCTTTACAGAGGCAATTAAGAATGCCACTAAAAGTCCAATTTAGAGGCAGGTTTAAGCATCTCCAATTGATCTTGAGGCAACCTTATATGCCTCTAAAAATAATCTAATAAGATACTTATTTAATTTTTGGAGGCACTTTTGGTCGTCTCTAAAGATATTTTATTTTATTAAATTTTTTTTTTTTGTTATGCACAAAACCTGTAATAACATGTTTACAGCATTAAGATAAAACCTACATGAAATATATTTAAGCCATTTCATCCTAAAATATATACATTAACCATAGGTTGTGAATAATATTGTTCAATGATGATTAAACAAAAATAATTAAAAGAATACACCACTTGACTTCCATCTTCTTTCTAAGAAGAAAAAGAAATAAAAATAAACACTACATTCAATCCTCATTGTCATTTTTTCTTCCTTCTTTAGTAGATGAATTCTTTCTTGACAATCTAAAAAATGATAGAATCCAAAATAAATTTCAATTAACTTATGAAGAGATGCCAATTTGAATCGAGATAACCGAATTAAGGTTATCAGTAATCAGTATGTAAGTAAAGTTCACTGTGGATGAACTTCAAGGCCCAATATACTACACACACAAAAAAGAATAAAACACCCATCTTCAACAATCCACACACCCAAACTACACTCTAATACTGCTTAAATTTGATATGAAAAGTCCATGAATGTTGATGGTTTTCCAACCATAATCAGCTCTTTTTTAGTGGACTTCCGGTGTACCCTGCCCTTCTCAGCTGCTCTGTCTTTGCCCCTTAATCCCCCACCAAATGTTTAATATGTAATATAAAAAAAAAGCAACCTAAAGTTAAATAGAGTCCATTCTTTTAACCCTAACCTCAACCCAATCCAAAGTGAGTTGCATTAATATTTTTGAATCCCAACCTTAACGCAAACTTCAATCATACCCAACCCAATGATATAATCATGTATGTAGAGTTGGAGACAAATGGGTACCGTCCTTCTGCATGGACCTACTGAGCAAATTTTATTTCATGGGCCACCTCCTCGTTCTTGCATTCTTGGATAGTTGCAAAGCACCCAACCCAAAACATACCATCAAAACGAAGCAATTATAAAAGGTTCCCTGAGAGTGTCTGTGACTATCGACTCCACATGAGCAAGTTCATGTTGCCGGCGGMACTAGAGAGCCATCGCCCCACCGCTACAGGAACCGGGCCCRAAGCTAAAGTACATTCTGAACCTCTGATGCTTCCTAGGAAATCCCCATTTCCCACCATCCACAGATTTAGCTGAACCTGTGGGTGGGTCTATAATGGATGACTCGATTATTTCATGAATATATGAATCAATTTTACTTTCAGTCACGAGAACAGATTCAATAGAAAATAGGGCCCAATCTGCCCAGTTCAGCTACACACAACACCCAGTTGAAACTGGGTCGCCAGTCCTGCTTTCCAGTGGCATATATAGAAAGCTAGTTGATGCGTATTTGCAACACTAGCAAGTGTACTAGCCACTCAAACAAAAAAGTGATGAATAGAGTATCGTTCCCACGAGGACCTATACAGCAACTACTAGTATTACATCTGTCATCTATTATATAATAGACCGAATTGTTAACCTAAACAAAAACCGAATTCCTAACTAGCAACTAGCTCTATGAATTTGGATCAAACACCTTTCAGGCATTCAAGAAAACAAGTTGAATGTGAGCAAAACATAATTGGTTTAGCAATCAATTCTCAAGATCATTCGATTGAA